TTTATTTAGAAAGAGTATCTTACTCATTCTTTTCAGGAGAATCTGTATTACGAGGAATTTAATTAGAGGAATTTAACCAATATCGTGCAATGAATTTCTCTGCCTCTAATTGACGCGCTTCGAAGCCTACGCAACCACGACACCATTTCATTTTACGAGTCGACATTTCCTCAGCTCGAATTCAATTTTTTCCCGTACTAATACGGTTCATTTTGTTGGATCGAGTGGCAGGGACACTGGCTTTATTTGAGAATTTATTTTTTTTAGAATCGAAATTAAAGCCATTTGAAAAATGTATATCGTATACTATAAGTGTTCTATTTAGTTCACTAGATATAAAAATAAATATTGGTATATGTGAAGTACCTATTGAATACAGCGGTTTTCTTGTAAAATTTGGAGGTAAGCTTATGTTTTTTCATCTATCGTGAACATTTTTAGGACTCTAAAACTGAACTTCGACACACGCTACTCCGACAATATGTTACATCGACGTGTTTTTACTCAGACATTACGCTATTTCGACAACACAGACGAGATGTTTCTTAAAAAAATATTTGCATTCAGATAAGAAAAATCATCTTTGCAAACCTACATAGGAAATGGTTTTTTATTATATATTTTATTATATATCGACCAATATAACAAAAAAAAACTTGAATATTTTACTTTACACTTCGATTGCGATAAACAAAAAATATTTATTTTAAGAGTTTAGGCTCTACTGCAAAATCACAAACCAAAATTTTGAAATCTTCAGTGGCGTTTTGTTGGCGTTTCTTTGTATGTATCTGTATCAGGGGGTCGATTCAGAACCTTACGATAACTCAGTTGTTGACCGATTCGATTTGATAACGTACGATTTCTTTTCATTTTTATTCGCAACATCCGAATCGAACGTCAAACTTTCGTATTCGAAACCGAACCGAAATTACGTCACAGCCGTACGATTACTCAAGCTTCTCGACCGATAAAGGCTACAAACGTTATTCGGACAGTTATCGAATGAAAGTTACCGAACCTTTTATTGTTTACAAAGCAATATGCATAATAATGCAAAATAAAGCAAATGAAGTCTAGATTTTGTTCAATTTTATTAATTTACTGTAATGCAAAATTTCATAGCCTTAAAAATGTATATAAAAGGTTTAATTTTTTTTGTAATATATTGGCTTGCTGTATAGTGTCTAACACTCGATGAAAAAAATATTATTTCATGTACTTACATATATGAAATAGTGTATTTTATTATATTTTAATTTAATAGTTTTTTGTTACACTTTATATAACTAATAAAAGAATTTTTCGATTATATGATTTTTTTTGTTATATTGATCGGTATATAATATGAAACCACTTCCTACATGAGTTCGTAATGATGATTTTTCTTATCTGAGTACAAATATTTTTTTGAGAAACATCTCGTCTGTGTTGTCGAACTAGCGTAGTGTCTGAGTAAAATCATGTCGATGTAACATGTTGTCGGAGTAGCGTAATGTCGAAGTAATATATTGTCGGAGTAGAGTAATGTCTGAGTAAAATCATGTCGATGTAACTATTGTCGGAGTAGCGTGGGTCGATTTCAATCGTTCGAGTTCAATTTTAGTGTCCTTTTTTAGGAATCGTGTTTTCACACCCAATTTTACATTGTTTGCATCCGGAAAAACAGTTTCATTTCCTATGTGTAACAATCGTGAAAACTTAAGAATTCGATAAGGCGTTGCTCGTTTCGATACTGCTCGGACCGTCGTCGACTCGAAACGCACAAAGTCTTCTTCGCTCTTATTACTTGGACTTAAAGCGTCTTCCGGTCGCCTTACTGTGATGCCGTGTAAACACAACTCTCATCGGAGTTGTGTGTGACATCTATACTCGTATGATTGATACCCACTTACACCTTCTACTCACATTTTTTAAGGATATTGAGCAACGGGACGAACTAGTCATGCGCCTGGTAGTAAGCAACACGCCTATCCGTGACAGTTGCAGTACCACTCAAGAGTTTGAAATCGCAAAGGTTTGACGGGCACGAACATAAGTTGAAAAGTCCCGTGTGCCAAACCAGAACGCAGTAATGCACACATTACTGCTTGGTGACAGAAATAGGTAAGGAGGCAGTACTTCCCTGGACGAACTCTTTCGCAATCAGGTCTAATATTACTACTAAAACCTCTTTCATAATGAGCTCCATTGCTACTTTTGTCTTTTCTTAAATATCAGCTTTATTGCTGCAGTTAACAATCTCAATAAAATTCTGCCTGTAGTGTAAAGAGCATCAAGATTGTAGAATTATTTGTAAAGTGACGAAAGGTGAATTATGTACCTTTTCGACGGCGATGTATTTGACAATTATTATCTGGCCATCTAGTTACGTTTATAAATAAAATTAGCTCCATGTCTCATATTCACTTTTCACATAGCAACCAGAATGTCGCCGTAAATTCCTCAAGTCCAAGAATTCTAAACCGTTTGTTGCAGTCGGTAGCTGTTTACTCAATCAATTGGCGCTTAACGACGCGCAATAATGAGGTGTACTGTTTGCCTTGCTGGTTAGATGCGTACGCGCTGCATACAAGATCAACATGTTTTAGTTTAGTTGGAAAACTAAGAATTATTCTTAAAGTATTGAGATGTTTTTTATTACACTTAACCGGGATATCAAGCTGCATACAATTTTTCCTATTCTCTCTTTATGTCACAACACTTTACTAAAATACTTCCACAGAAAGAAGCAATACTTGATGTTGTAAGTTTGCATCAATCTCTATTGTAACATTCTTAGAACTTTTTAGGTGCATCTTTATTCAAATAATTTTTTGAAATACTTATCTTCCGCATCCGGTCCGGTGACTTTCTATTTTAAACGTACAAGTCATGTTTAACATTAAAATATTACATGTTACCACTACGTAGGTGTACTGACTTGTATATATGTATATTTCCGACTACAATTTCTTCAAATTTTTCGTTTTTCGTGGTATTGACTGAGTGAGCAATTACGTGCCCTTTTCACACCTACCCGCTAACAGTTTGACTTATGGCATAGATATGTCACGGATATGTTTTCTCGGATTTCAATTTACTCAAGATTTTCGACCGGCTCTTGCTTTGGTGCCAATGTCAATGCCGGCTCCAACTTTGGTGCCAATGTTTTGTTGAATTTTACTATTTGAAGTTACACATGTGGTTGTTTCCCATAATGTTCATTTTCAAAAAGCTGTACTTTTCGTATATGTTCATCTTTTAAGCTAATGTCGTTCAAATAGTATTTTTATGGTAGTTGAGATTCCGAGATTCCATAATTGATGTTTATCTTTTGGGATCTTAATGAGTTGTACGTACGTTTTTAATTTGTGCAATAACAAGGCAGCTGAATCTAATCATACTTCGTTGGGCGTGAAGCATGTAATGATATTTAGTACATTTAGCGCTTTTCTTACTAGTTTTCACTGACAAGAATGGATATGTTAACGGACGTTGGGAAAATGTATAATGAGTTCTGGGGCCTTAATTAAGTTTTCAAATAAGTAAACTTAACTACCGCTTTTGAGTTAAGATTTTAATTTAAACCTTATAAATAAATAATTAAGATCTAAATAAAAATCTAAACGCAGACGGGGTAGTCACGTTTGAATAATTATAAATTTACACTCTGGCCTCTGAGGTTTTTGCGATCGCTTCACATCGAAAATGAAACGCAAGAAATATAGTAAACATAGATACGTGATTTGGATCCGAAAAAGTAGTGTTATCTCCAATACACCGTTAGCAGTGACCATGGGACTAGTAAAGAGTTGTTTGAAAGGTTTGTTTGAACAAACAAATATACGAGATTTAGAACAGAAAAAAGTTTCTTATCCTATGCAGCATAAGTTCTAATTTTGCTAAAGGTAAAGCATGTATAAGTTACAATTTTTATAAAAAACCTTAAGCGTTTTCCAGTACGATATTCATTTGTTATTCTAAAGCTTTTCAATTCTCCGAAATCCGAATAGATATTTACACACAATTGTAATTTAATTAAAAGCGGGCACTACCAGCTACTAGTATGCAGCTTATTGTTATACAAATAAGGGCGAAGGCAGGATTGTTATTGTAATGTAACACTTGGACGTGGACAACTTAAGTTGTCACTTTGTTTTCTTTTTGCGGGATCTTGAGAGGACGTCGACCCTGTGCTTGTGTATCTATATTTTAAGGTTGTCGGATCTTGTGTATTGATTTCCGAGATACACCCTTTTTCTATTTTAGTGAGCACTTAGGCTTATACTAAAATGTGTCAGACGCGCTAGTAAATACGTAAGTCATAATTTATAGAATAGGCAAATAACTAATTAATATTTGAACAATTAATATTACAATTAAGAGATCTAAAGTTAGCCAGGTTACCTCAGTGTAGTAATTAATAAATACTTAAGTTATACGTGACAAACATACAAGAAATAAAAACAAGGTGAACATTAAAATCAGGATCAAGTAACACATTTTTATATTTAAAATTTTGTACCAACCCTAGCTCAGTGTTACGGTAAACGTGTAAGTGAGTAGCGAGTGGACGTGACGCGATTCTGTTTGTTTACCGTGCCGGCGCCGATGCGCCCGCGTCGCCCCGCGACTTCTGTGCCCACTGCGCCTTCTCAGAACAACTGCGCCCGCGATGTCCAACAACGATTTTGGGAGTTTGATTATAAGGACACGTGGTGGAATTTATTCATTACAGTGTGGGTGAAACACGTTCGGCGCGTTCTATAATGCATTTCTGTTAAAACCACAGTCGATGTATCATGGACAAGCGTGTCGCTTCTAGCCTCAAGCCACCTGGCGCATGACTTGTTCGTCCCGACACTTGGTATCATAAAAAAAAGACTTATTGGCTCTAGGACACTACAGTACCAAAATCGTTAGGACCACCGTGTGTCTCTCCTAGGATGTTTGACGGGTTAGGTTCTTAAACCTGCCGGGCGTGATTGACATTGAAACTTGCACTATATTTGTTACAGGTGATGTGGCATCTAGCCGCCCTATTATCGTTGGCGGCGGCGGTTGTGGCAACGCCATGTGAAGTGGCTCGCATGCGCTGCGCCTACCGTACGGGTTGCGGAGCCGCTCTCAGCAACTACATGTACCTGTGCAACGAAGTCCTGTCTGAACCTACTACGGTGTGTCCCAAGGCGTGTGGGCATGCTCTAATTGCACTTATGTCTACCGAGGAAGGGAAGGCACTTATGAACGTACGTAACTTTTTTGACTTAAGACTTTCGTCATATTATTTTCATTGATTAAGCGTCCTCTTCTGTATATCGTCCTCTTGGTGTAGGTGGTACCTTTTTAAGCTCGGTACAGATTATTTGGATTGCAACATGAACATCTATGAAAAGCCGATAAATGACGAATCACAATTCAAAACGCGCGCGCTGCGAATGCGCGCAGAGAGCGCGCAGTGTGTTCACGAACGCATTATGTTGCATTGCACGTTAAATTGCATTAGTGTTGCAAATAATCTATAGCCGGCTTTATGAATCGCAACCTGAAAGACCACTTGACAACTTTTCTGAAGAGATGTTTCAAGATATTAACAACGAAATTACACGTTAATTTTTTTTAAATAGTAGAGTTATAAAATTACACATATACATACTTTGACGTATGATCACATGCGGTTTTATTATACCAATGACAAATCGTACCATAGATGTAAAACCCTTTAGATTTGGATACTAGGAAAAACCGTCAAATTGATATTAACGATCGGTTATAGGCGAAACGACGAATAAACTTCTATGAATAAACTAGGATGCAGAATCTACGAATTGGGGCGATTACAATAGGCGTGACAATTTACCTAATTTAAAAATGTGTGAAGTAGTATACGGTACACTCTTTGTGTAAACACTGACCAACAAACAGTTGGACAGTCCACCTGATGGAACGTGGTTCCCACCGTCTATAGATACATAGAGCTCCTTGTGAAAGAGTTCATCCAGGGAAGTACTGGCACCTTACCTATTTCTGCCGCCAAGGGAAGGATACGGGTGATGTTGAAATTACAGGTACATTGGACTTGACAACTTATGTCTCAGGGTGACGGGCATAGTGGCAATGCCGCTCAGACTTTTGCGATTTAAAATTCTGAGTTTGCACTGCAACTGTTACGCCTGTCCATAACATGTTGTTTACCACCAGACGCTTGTTCGTCCTGTCACCTGTAGGACAAGCACGACAGGGCGCGACTTGAGCGAGAGCGACATAAAGTACGACATACTGCTATTCTCGCATAGAGATCTCGCGCTTTTTGTCGCTATCATGCCCTGTCGTGCTAGCCTTATTGGTATCATAAAAAAACCAAACCTAGCAGGGCCTTTTACAGAAAAAATAAATGGGACGGCGGTGGTACGTACCCTAGCGGTTTTTGCATAGAGACACAAATACTAGACCCTATTGTATTAATTCCGTAGTGTAATCTCATTTCTCCTGCACTCATGTTAGGCTACCTGATAATGGACTGTTATACCTTGCATAACTGGTCTAGTTTAGGTACTTTAAAAACGTTGATAAAATAAAATACGAAATGTTTTAGTAAAGCAATATTTTTCTACCTGTGTTGCTATAAAGACCATCACGGGCAAGCAATCGTGATACTGCATGTGGATCGCATACAATGGGGTGTACGTATAAAACCACTGTATTGTACTAAAGCAATAAAACTAAACGGTGCATCTTTATAACCCATACAAACAGATTTATAAGTAAAATGTAATATGTTATGCCACAAAATATGCAACGACATGTGCTCGAAAGTAATTATGATGTATAACGGTTCTTTAGCAATTATACAATAGGTATACTTACATATATTATGAACCTTAAATTCAGGATGGCCAGACGGGTACGGGATTCTCGCACTAAACGTAGAATTTGCATACCGCATGAAAGAATTGACATAAATTTGGGTTTTTATTAAAAAAAAAATGATGAACAAGGGTTTGGTTACTTAATTAGTGTTGGATCATCATCCCCAGCTACTTATTGAGTTCCTAGCCTATAGTGCTAGCGCCACTGAAGCATAGGTATAGCGCCGCCGCGCCAACGTCACTCGGTTCGTTTTTATTTTGTAGGTTTGTTTAAAACCATCTGACTGCCTTTTAACGCACCGTCATCCGTATTTTATAAAATGATGGTTCGTAAATACTAAAATTTATAGAAAAAAACATTTAAATCGTACCTTTGTGCACAAGAATTCCTTTTACCTGAAATTGAAATTTGAAATTCTCCCACATGTACTTCAATTCATTTTAGTTTGACAACCCTGCTTCGATTATATCGCTTCTATAAGGCTTACAATATTATGAGTGCGATCACAGTGTGACCATAAACATACATTATTACTCACATATTAAAACGCAATCTTCATCAATAGGCCAATCAAATCATGAATGAGTGGATATAAAAGCGTTATGCGTAAGATCTTTGCAAGTTATGTAAAAATAATACCTAATATTTACATTTCCGTTGGTATAGTATTTACAAGATTAATGTACAGTAATAAATAAGCAATATGGAAAAATAACGAAAGGTCACATGCTAATAATATATCAATATGACATTCAAGTGATAAACGAAGTCTAATTCCCGCAACTCCACAAGGGATGACTCCAGGTGCCGTTGACCGTGAATTTATTAAACTACTAAATCATATTTGAGTTTACGCTTCGAATATTGAGTAAATTGAGCCAAAGATGTGAGTTGTCGAAATTGCTTCTCATCGTGGTTGTTTATGTTCCTTTCAATTGACGAACCACGCCCAGCGTTAAAAGAACTGTCTTTGCTCTGATTTGAAGTGAAGGTTTTTCCTTAACAAAGCAATAAAGGGTATCCATTAATAATGGCTTGTGTAAGGTGCGCGTACCCAGGCGGCGGTAATAAAATCTAATTTAGACGTCGTCGAGCAGATTTGTCGGACACACAGCACATCGCGGGTCGCGGTTGTCGACCTCGAATTTTGTTGTCGTATTATATGAAATGAAATTTATGAATAGGGCTTGTTTGGTGAGAGATCATCACAGTCTCTCAGTTTTGTTAAAATGGAAAATAATTAGCAGGAAATAATTTCTAGATTTGGAAAAACATCGGGGTATTCAGCTGTACGGTGTGGGATTGCAATACAGGTTTCATTTCACTTTTTCATTAAACAGAATGTTACAAAATAATCTTACGACACAAATGTAGTCTATTTTATGGCTTTCGTAGTTTTTCGTTAAATTACTATAGTCAATAAGATAAAGTCATATCGGGGAAAGAAACATATAACTCGTACACTTGGTGTAATAAGGCCACATAAGCAAAATGACAACTTTTCAGGTGAGAGGCGTAAAGGTTCTACGAAGTAAATTAGTTGATAACTTTTAATGCTTATATAGCATAAACATCATAAAAAGTTAGAGCGACATTTCACACTACTTTGTGTTATTGTTATGACGTTCATGTGATAAAATCACTTTTGATCACGGGTATTAAAGTAACTAACAATGATGCGGGGTACAAACTAATGATAATAATTTAATGATTATTCTGGATAATTTTGACAGCACTAAAAGAACTCTTCTAACTCGTCGTCATCTTTAATATTGGACATTGGTTCAAGTGGCTGATGCATTTCAATTCAGTTCAATTGTTTATTGCGTATAACATTGCAAATTTATGATGGAACATTAATAGGTGGCATACATGTGTGACGCCCTGTAAGGTCACATCATCGTCAGAGGGCTAAGTTCATTAATCACACTATTAAATTATATTAAATTATTACATTACAATATATCGAAATTCTTCCACAACTCTTTCACGGTAAGTGCAACTCGTATGTGGAATAAACTGCCTGCTGGCATTCGTGACAGTCCATCGGTGGCATCTTTCAAACATAAATTAAAAGAGCACTACCTGTCGAACGCGTTAGATAGCTAATAGGTAACATATATTATAAAGTAGTAATTTGTTTAGATTATAATATATATTCTGCTTATGTTTGTATTTATGTATATAAAGTTCATGTAGGTGTGTATGTCGGTCATATGTATATATTATCATCCTTTATATATATATATTATTAATTTATTTTTTTTATTCACATTTAAATTTAAATTTTATTGTACAATAATTAGTCCCGCAGACTTCATTTTTCACCTAGGCTAGGGTTGGCTGGAAGAGATCTCTTCTAGAGATAAGCTCACCTTTGTATATGTCCTTTATAACTTGTGTTTCATGTATCTTTTCTTTGTGCAATAAAGAGTTATTATTATCATAATATTAGATTATTATATCACATTATTACATTGCAACAATCTTAATTAGTAATGGAAAACATACATTATACAATATATTCATTTTAAATAATTATTAATGAGACGCAGTAGAAGTATTTTTTTATTATTGTTATTTGTCATAATTTATATCGTCAAAAAATTCATTTAAATCGTAATAACATTTATTAATAAGGAATGATTTTAATATAGGAAATGAAACTATTTTTCCGGATTTAAATCGCGTATATTTGTTTTTTCAAAAACTATGTGTAACAATCGCGAAAACCTAAGAACTCGAAATGATTTTAATAGTTTGTTGAATTGTTTCTTTCCAGGTTTTTAATGAAATTTGCTATGTGGTTATAAATTCTAACATGGTGTGGGGGCCAGAAGTAATTTAATTTCATTTTGGGGGAAAGGTATTCTAAGCTTGTTTAAGTTTCTGTTTTTAAATTTCTGTTTTTTATTTGTTAGAGGTGCATTATGTATGAGATGACGCAATAGCGGTTAACCACAAACTCGAGATTCTACGAAATAAAATCAACGAAATTTGTTCATACTTAATGTATATAGAGATTTAATCTCTATTTACATATCATATGCAATAAATTTATATGAGTACGAACTTGAAAGCGAACTCAGGGTCGTATTCCAGAACTCTACTCAATGCTCAAGTCAGGATATGAGTATGGTTTAAAGCACTCGAAATCATACCCAAGTCTCTGCCATTAGGGTCGTTTTTCCAGTGCTTGTGTTTCAATTGCAATCCTGACTTGAGCATTGAGTAGAGTTCTAGAATACGACCCTCAGACTCTGTTGCAGGTGTTATCTTATAAGAGGTCGGAAAAATCATTACAATTAAAATTTCGTAAATCATTTCTCTTATTTATATAAAGTTTAATTCAGTATACAATACTATGTATATTACGCACATTTACAGGACTTTACTTCTTTTATATTTAATTGTATCAATAAAAACTAGTCTTGAACTTTAAATAGATTAGATTGTTATTAACGTTTGTAAAATCTTACAAAATATTATTGCTAAACTTACCATAATGTCTTGTACTTATTCAATAAGATATTATTGTAAAACAAATCGACTTGTCAATACAAACTTGCCCTCGTTTTAACAAAAAATTAAAACAAAAAGCTCCTTTTATTTTATTTCTGGCTTAAGTCAATTAGTACCGTAGAAACGCTTACACTATAATACCTTGCATATAAAACATGTATTAGTATTTATGTCTCAGAACATTATTAACTCAGATTTTATCATTTAAAACTATCATTTTTTTCAATGAACCCAACAACCCGTAAGCAAGTTTCCATTTTAGGCTTTCTATATAGGTGCTCTTACAACACTCGTCGAAAAAATTAACGACGCCAAGATGAACTTTACTGTAAGGAGATTTCATTGCATATTGTTCATATGTCAACACCGGATGGAATGTTTATAAAAAATGGATTGCCATTAGGTACACAAAGCAAATGTCTGTAAAATATCTCACCCGCTAAAATCCTCCGTCATGTGAATATCAAATTCTTCTTAACGTTAGTCCCTCTTTGTGTCCCAAGTAAATTTATTAAAAATAACAATTTGTTTTTGTAATAGTGTATGTTGTCTGTTGTTGTAGATTCTTCTCTTAGCGAGGTCTATTGGAATTCACCGCTCAAATATTAAGTAATAAACGCGTGTATTCCTTAACCAGAAATTGGCGGAATCATCGATTGTATCCATGGACTTATAACGCTTTCAAGAAGAAAAAGTCTTTCTCCTTTTTCTTGAAAGTGTTATTTGTAACTTTCTGTCGGATTTTGTTGGAGATTTAATTTAATTTCAATGAAAAATAATAATAAAACTATTATTATAATTAATTTGTTTTACTATAGCTCTTGAGTAAAATACTTTAAATAATTGTAAACCTCTGAAAATAGCGAACTTTGTATCTCAAGGTAAATGTATATCTGCAAATGTACTCGAAAGTAATTGCTGGAATATCATATTCACATGTAATTTAAAGATGCATTTATAGGAATCAAACGAGTATATGCAGAATAGAGCAATTATGCAAATAAAAAGTTAACATCTTACTACATTTGCAATTGAGTCAACAAAAACTCGTGCCAGACCTCCCTGACCGTGCAGACGCAGGTGCTCTCTTTGCGCCAAATTACACAAAACACCACCACATTTACCACGACAATTGCTCGTATTTCAAATTGACTAACTTAGCAATCGATTATATATGCATTTAAAGAACCAACGCGAAGCCTTTTAAAACGTTTATAAGTAAGTTAAGTTACATTTATTTCCAATATGATCACATGCAAGCGTGTTTCTGCCATGCAGTCCGTAGGCATATTCCGTTCATGCATAGATAAAAACTATATTTTAGTTTTAAACCGGTCAACCCCTTTAATTATGTCGTGCAATGGCCCGGCTATGTGTATCGAAAGGCAAACCAAAGGAGCGGCCGCGTTCAGCCTTGAGATTTGACGTCTTGATCGGGACCTACCGCAGCGCCGCGCCGGCTATTGCGCGCGCGCAGGTGTTACAGCGCTCACACAAAAAACAAGCGTAATACGGCTGCCGTATCTTCATTTACTCCTACCCACTTTGATTATACGTAAATTAAGAATAAAACGTGAGAATCATTTACATTAGTCACAGGTACCAAACAACATCCGACTTAAAATGCCAGTCGGTTTTGAGTTAGTAGTTATAGAATATCTCTACATATTCGAAAATGTAGAAGGAATCCGAAACGTTTCAATAATTTGTCGTTAATCCGCTCGTAGCTTATGCTAATGCGAAATAAATATACTTAGCTCCCAACGAATGAATAAGCGATAATTTATAATTTTGAACGACCGTTTAAGTAAATCCAAATTTTATGCGCGTGCAGTATATTTATTGAGATTTCAAAAATCAAGATGTGTTTTGATAGCGGACGGAATGTTGCTGGCGTCGTAAAAGATTTTTACGGACTAACCGTTATTATTATGTTCCATGGTGCGAGAGAATTTATGATTTTCCTTGAAACTTATTGGTTTTAAATTTAGATTTTCCGGCTTTTGAAACCTCACTGGTCACTGCTTATTATTCTATGTTTTAAAATGTGTATTTTTGTTACAGTGTAAATGTGAAGATGAATATTGTCTGGAGACAATTCGGCGGATGGAAGTGTGTCGACCTCAAGTGATGAAGGGAGCCGCCAATGCGACTTCCTCCTGTCGTTTGTCGCAGCTAATTTGCTTGGCAGACGCACAGTGCTCTACCGCTTTGGGATACTACAACGACCTCTGCCGATCTATGTATCGACGAGGTAGAAAGTGTTCCAATAAGTGCATGAACTCTATTGATATTTTGAGAAAACAGGAGAAAGCTGCCGCATTAGTCGCATGTAGATGTGATGGCAACGAAGACTACGATTGTCCACGGATGCAAAGAAATCTCCAAAGGCTTTGTTTTCATAAGAAAAAGTCTCATGGAAAGGGAGAAAAGGAAGAGAGAGAAAGGGATAAAGAGAAGAATGGAGAAAGGCTGCATAAGAAGGTACATAAAGATGTAGAAACAGGAACAGCTTGTGTAGTTTCCGTATCGTGGGTGTCAGTTTTAATTACTATATTTAGTGCGTCGCTCAATACGTGACTGGGGACTAGGTCTACCTCACTTTTTAGGCTATTATAGAATAAGCAGCAAAGTACAATACTTTGTGTAAATATGTACAATAGAAACAGATCATCAGTGAGGGAATGCAAGGGCTTGTGTGAATTTTAAGGCTTAAACGAAAAATTATTGGGATAATGTATGTTATGTTTGAAAATTCATATCGTTAGTCGTTATTTTGCAATGTATGTATATGAGTGGTACATTTAATGTAGGGTGAACGTACTGCGGTTAATGTGTAAATAATTTTTTTTTTCAATATCTTTAGCCTTTAAGTGGTTTTAGAGAAGGAGCGTGATGTTTCTGTTTCATTCTTCCCCTTACGTACGAGCACATAACATACTTAATTCATTAAGTTGAAATTATTATAGATCGTTCATCCAGTGTATTCAAGTAAATTTTATAAAATCGAAATAGAAATGTATGCAAGCGTATATATCGTGATGCAGCGAATACTATACGCCCACGGGGTGTGCACGCGGCGATGCGGCGGCGGGTGGTGCAGTGCCGTTGCGCGGGCGTCGGTGCCCGCTATAAATAAGCCGGCGCCGGTGGTCCGGTGACAAATGCTCCGGCGCCACGCCGATTGATCAAACGACGTACTATCATCACCACAATGCGGTGACAAATTTGTAACACGCATCACTAATTTGTTTTTGAATCTATGGGCAGTATGTCTGTAATAATTATATTGCTACAAAATCACCGGAGATTTAGGTATCCCAAATTGCTTACTATTTATATACCTTCATAGGACACGAAAGATTTGCTCCACAATAGTCATGATCAACCCATTTACGTGTCCCACTGCTGGGTGCGGGTCTCCTCTCAGGCGAGGGATTAGGCTATGGTCCGCCACGCAGACCCAATGCGGGTTAGGGACTTCACACGTTTTCTGAGGGTTGTGAACAGCGTTGCCAATTTGTGGGGAATTCCCCAAATTGCGGGGAATTTCAACGAATTTCAACTAGATAGGGGATTTTGTGGGGATTCGCGCTATGTGGGGAAAATGTGGGGATTCTAACATTTTATCATTTTGTTTAATCTATCGATTGCATAATGTATCGCTAGTTCGATCGTTATTGTAGAAACACTGTATTGTAGAACTATAATGATGTGTTTTTCAACATCGCATATCCCTCGCATTATTTTAACAAGCAGCTTAAATAGAGTCGGTGTGTATTGATTCGCGATCCTTTATCCCGCTTTAGGCCGGTTAGGAAGAAAAACGAAATAAGCTATTGATAAACAAAGCCGAGCAGTTGGTACTTCCACACCACAACTTACCAGTCGTCAATATAGGTCGAAACTTAATTTACTCATTGATTATTTCTAACATTAAGATAGTGTCGTCAAATGCGCACCAAATGACTAAGTTACTTAATTTTGTAAGGCAAACAAAGACCGATTTTTTTCAAAGACCGATTAATGTTGCATCTCGTTAAAATAAATAAACGATTAAAGATCATCGAATTTTATAATGTGCTTTACATTTTGCATTCTGTTTACATTTACAACAAACGTAATAGATGGTTACATTTTGAGTTTCCTAATTCTTATTATATTTTAAAGCGATGTATTTGTAATAAATTATGAAAACTCGAGATGTGGGTAATTTGTGGGGAATATCAACTTTGCTCTCCCCAAATTTGGGGATTTTAACCGTGATTTTTGGGGATTTTGAACAAGTGGCTTTTTTTAATAATAACGCACACACTCAATATAGCCCCGCACTAGGGAAACCCTGTGTCGCGGGTGCCATGGACACACACATAGACAATTACAAATTACACCCAAACTCACGAGAGAAATAAATGTAGACCATACAAATATTTCTGCCGGCCCGGGAATCGAACCTGGGACCTCAGCGCGGCAGTCCGGATATAATGATGATAACCGTTCGGCCACGGAGGCAGTTAAATTTGCAACGCTGGTTGTGAGCCTTCTTCGACGTGCGGGTTTCATCACGATATTTTCCTACATAAAAAAGCTTATGGTAAATTTCAATATAAAATTCGCACATACATTCCGAGAAATTCAGAGGTGCGACTCCGGTCTCGTACCCACGGCCTCTTCTTGAAACTGCTTGAGACGCGGTAGGTTTTAACCATTATAATAGTACATTAGTACAATATCTTTCTAACTCAAACACATTTTTTACTGTATTCCTACTTACTTTATACTTATATTTGTCTACAGATCACTATGCGCCTAAATGATTATAATTAATTTCAGATTTCTTACCACGGTATAATTCCTTTTTATTTACCCAAAATTTCGGAACATTTACCAAGGAGCATGTAATTAGTGACAATTATTTAGTTAATAACCACGAAAGTCTTGAAAATCTGTGTAACTATGATGCTCCTTTCATATAATTCCATTAAGTTTTTCACATCCGTCATTAGAATGACAAAAATAATATCTGTAAATGGTTAGGCGATGATTGACTCGCGGAAGTGGAAGTTCTAATGACACAGTCGTCTAATTTTGAGACGGCACTAATCGACAGTTGAACAGGATGGAGAGACTAGATGGTGATTCTCGATTCCTTCACAAATATTTTATATTATTACTTGCGATTTTGTTAGCGAAAAGAAATAAAACATATTTCTATCAATGCGTTCATATCTTAGAAGTATTTTTGAATGGTTATGATCGATGCTGTTATTGTTTAGAATGCGACAGCAATATATTACATGCTCCGTAAAATAAAATAAAAATTTGCTAACTCTAAATGTGGGTCTGACTCCGTTATATATAAGGCTATCGAAAACTCAAATAATATTCTCAGTACAGAGAGTACTCTGTACTGTAAAAAAAACAACATCAAAAGTCATTCATAGTTTGTCTCCCTTAGAGGTGGAATATTTTCTTCAAATTTAAATGGGACTACTAAGGTACCCTCTTTCCAACAAAAAAGAATCATCTCAATTGGTTCACAAATGAGTTACCGCGTAAAACACATACAATCAAAAAAAGAAAAAAAAAACATACAGTCAAATTGAGAACCTCCTCCTTTTTTGGAAGTCGGTAAAAAATATGGAGACAACCGAATTAAATACAGAAAGTACCGAAAACACTTGCTGATGTAATACTACCAATAAAATTATTTTTTATCGAAAATTGTTAGCTATTTTTGTTTTAAATCACCTAATATAGACTTAAAAGCGACCTTACACATTTCATAAATTTTCGTGCTTGTTAGACTATTCCATCATACGGAAATACATCGGTAAGTTAATTTTTCTTTCGGAAGTTTAGTATATTATTCGGAAGCACCATTTTTTCGCGGAATTATGATGTGAAGAGATTGATTGTTTGCTAAATATGAATAATTTTGTCGGTATATTCTGTGTTTATTGTTCACTGACTCATTTAAACGCAACTTAGTTATCATTTGTTTTTTCGGAAACTTTATTTTTTTCCATTATAATGTTAGATGAATATGGTATATATTTAAATATATGAAATAGCGTATGTAAATACCGTCAAAGAAGTAAAGCCCATCCCCACATCATTGATGCCTGGCTTTGTAAGACCACGCAGGCGTCACGTTCGTTTCTTCCTCGAACCTGCAAGATGTGGATGGTCTTCCTTCGAAGTTTTTTTGCGTTATGGCACGGGGTTCTTCAAAAAGCGTGTTAAAAGTCAAAGGCTGGCAACGTCTACTGGTCATCTGATGTTACTGATGTCCATGGGCAACATTACCCGACTCGTTTGATTTCTTACAAAAAAGCAAATATATAAAAATATATTAATTTTGCCCTATATATTATATATAGGGCAAAATTAATTGAGGATTCTAAAGATTACAATAAAAGAATAATCCACCAAATTCTTTTCATGTTCCATGTCACATGTTCGTTCTTCAGTTCTTTTTGCGATACCATCTTAAAATATCGGTGTAAAACATTCCTTGCTCATTAAGAAATAGTTTTCGCTGCGAAGCGGTGGCTAATTAGATGTTTGTAGGAAATATGTGTGATTTACACGTGACGTCTCTTTTTCTTACGAACGTACTAATGGCCGAATGTTGGAAGGAGTGTTCTTAATTACTTAGAAAATATGGTTAACTTAAAAAGTGTTATTTATTAACTTATATCATTTGTTTTTTTGGAGTGATAAATGTTTACTTACATTCGTAAGCGGCTCTTCACTACACAAATGTGGTAAAATAAATTTTATCCATGATCAAGCAAGTATACATAAACATCGCAAATACTGCATTTATGTGTTTATACAAGTCAATGGGCCCTTACTTACGAGTGAGTTGTAATGAAGAGGAACCGGTCTGAGCCACGACTCCACGACTGAACGAAATCAGAGCAGTATCTACGACGGTAACTGTTTTGTTTAGTTAGTTTGAGTTAGGAACACGACATTTTTAAGAAACTTACACCATACCATAACGCACGTAGGTGGAAGCTTTTTGACAAATGTAATGTTAAAGATAAATGTTAAGAGCGAAAGAGACATTGTGTCAATATTATAAACTGTTATTTATTTCCTCTTCTTTCTGGAACCAGAAGCCAATTTATAGTAAAAAAACACAGTGTAGTTTTTGTCACAATATGAATTGTAAAACGTGATTTTAGTCATGGAATCAGCCAACTTTAATTACGAGGATCACACTCTAAAGGTAATACCTGTTCCATACTGGATATTAATATCTACACGACAGAAATTTGCCCATTGCTCCATATTTATATTCATATTCATTTATTTGTATTTCACATGGATGATAAACTTATACATGCGATACCCTGTGTTGATCTATCTACATTACTTACAATATTCTATAATTCAGCAAACAAAAGACTATCGTAGTATTTTGTAGACTCCGACGCCGCAGACGCGCCACTGCAGCGTTTCTACAAGCGTTTTGAAGGCACCCTCAAGCGCGAGGAATTATTACTCTCTTTTTTTGTTCAAGAAATTTGCCATTTGTTTTTAAAAATCTTGTAGAATGTAGAGCCGCCATTCTACCTATTCCATATAAAATATTAATATCTAGTCTACATAAATTTGCTCCTTGACCTAACTACATTACGTACAATATCCTAATTTAACAAAAAAGAGTATCGTAATATTTTGAAGACTGAATTACGGGGAATTAGGCTTCTTTTTCTTAAAAAAAAAGTTGGTAAAAATTTGTTTTAAAAAACTTCGTACAATGTATACGGCTATTCATTGCTCAATAGAAATACCATACAAAGTTCTTTCATAAAACAGTACCTGTATGCAATCAAGACCATAAATATAATAGTTTCAAGTTTCGAAATTCAATAAATCACAACAGCGTTCTAGTTTGAACATTGGTATGCTACGCCGAGCGATTACTAACGTGATCGTCAAATCGAGACGATTTTACGCCTAATTCAACCGATAATCTGATGTATGCAGTTTGTCATTGCACATATGTTTATTTTGTATTTTCTTTTTAATTAAACATTTGTGTATCATCAACTTCGTCATCATCAACAGCCCGATTTTATTCAGAACAGACAAAGTGCTATACAGACGTAGCTGTGTGGCTTAAATGTGTGCGCGCTCGAATACATTCGCATAATCTCGCAATGCACTCGCGTTGCATAACACTGATCGTTCCCACGCGCCTTTCATTATTATACGAATGGGTGCGTCCGTAACGTAAGTACAAGTAGCGTGACGGGCGTGCGTATAAGTCGCGGTGCTACGTTTGTTTGAAGTTACCATACTTGTCTTATTTAACTATGGTATAAACCTCCCGAAGTTTAAACAGTCTACCACGAACTTGTGCTAGCTTTACCAAACTACAGCTCGCGATTTTGATAATGTCATCTACCCATCTTGCTGTTACTTAAAATTGTTGTTGCAAACATTAAAATTGTTGCTTCGATCATTGTGCTTGATAAGTTCAGAAGGAAACGTTACATTATCATTTTAAACATCATTTTTTATGTCTGTCACATTTTTTTTTAGTGTCACTTTATAATGTTAACTAAAAACTATTATCGTTTAATTCTGAGCGTTGTTGTTTTTTCCTCTTGATTATTGTATTATGTAATCCTTGTGTTTATAGTGTATTGTAATTGTAGTTATATAGTATAGCGGAGATAATATTAATTAAGTACACTAAAAAAAGTATTGCCGATTGGTTCTTAGTTTTAAAGTTTAATTTTTAGTTGTATTTGAGGACTATAGTAAACGAAACTCATTTAACCACAGTTTACCAAAGTGAGATTATTAGAGTTAGTGAAAAACTGTAAATATTTTAGTGAATAAGAATAAAAACATTTCATTATTTTTATGGAAGCTCGTACAAAGTATTTTACAGTACCTAAATTTTAATAATTTATTGATTTAGTTGTAATATGATTTACTTTGTAAGATATATTGTTGCATTTGTTTCGTTTTTGTAAAATTATATTAAGGGAATTTAGTTGTATTTATTTTACAAAAATTGCAATAAATTTTCTGTTTTCTATGTACTGACTTTTTATTTCTTATATTCGCATAAGGAGAGAACATAAATGAATTTTGGATTGATTTTGTATGACAAAATGCTTAATTTTTTGATGGCGGTTAAT